TGTGAGGCTGTAACCAAATCTATTAGATCTATGACCTAATCATGCAGGATGAATATTGCATATGATCAATTTCAAAATTAAGAAATAAAATTTGAAATTTCAAAAATCATACTATTAAAATTAATCAAAAATATTTTTTTAATTAAATATATTAAAGTCATAAATATATACAATTTGATTACAAATTATTGAATTAATTGTTACAAACTATTTTTTTTATCACAAATCAAAAAACTTTTATGTCACAATTTATTCATTAGTCACAATTCCGGCAACCTCTATGGCAAATATTCCGATGACCTCCGGCAACTACCTCTTTTCCCCTTTCTTCTTATTTTGGCAAAGACCTGTGACTAATTTTATTGAATTTGTGATCTAATCAAGAGGGATGAATATGTATATAACAAGACTTGTGTTACATGTGATGAAAAAAATTTTTTATGACAAAGTCTATGTTATATGTGACTAACTGTAATCAAATTTATCTTCCGTGTGATTGTCTATGACCATCTAATTTATAATTGTATATAACCAAGTCACTAGTTGTGTAATCTGTGACTAATTGTGACCAGATTTGTATTCAGTGTGACTATCTGTGACTGTCTAATTTGTGGTTGTTTATAACTAAGTCACTAACACGTATTATGTGTGACTAATTGTGACTAAATTTACCTTCATTGTAACTAACTGTGACCAAATTTACCTTTATTGTGACTGTCTGTGACCAGGTCAGTCTTTTAACTGTGACGAAATGTGATCAAGTCACAATCAATATAGAATTGGTCACAATCAGTCATAAATCACAATTTTTTTAAGTTGAAACTTTTTTATCGGTAAAAAATTATTAAATTAATTGATCACGACTTTTTTGGTCACAAATTCCACATTTTATAGGCCACAACTTATGTATCGTCGGCCACAAATTCTCAAATTTATTGGTCACAACTTCTTGACAGTCGTAGATTATCATATTAATTAAAAATTCATTTGTCCTCTAATTTTCATACTTCTCAGCATCCTTTTTCCAAATCTTTTCCTGCATATTCTCTTCATTTAAGATTTCATATTGTGGATTCAAATTCAATAACATCAGACAACGTTGAGCAGAATTTAAAATCAAATAAAATAATGTTCTATTAATGTATTTCAAACGCAAACTACAAATTTATTCCATGTAATGTTCTGAAAATCTTCTGTAACTCGATTGCTTGTAAATAGAGAGAAAGATCAGTTTTGCATCAGTAGGTAAGGTGTAAGTGCACTTACAGATAAACATGAGGTGGGATGAAATTTCTTGGATTCGTTTGCCGCTGTGACCAATTAATTTGAGGCCATATATACAACAAGAACACTTAATTGTCTTTACACCACTTTCCTTGACATCTTCCAGCGAGTTGCAAGAATATGATGTAAAAATCGAGTTAACTACAGAAGACTACAAAGCTCAGTCTACACCACCGCATAAACGCTCTACATACCAGCGACGAAGACACCACAACCACCGGAGATCACATACCGATGACGAAGACACCACACAATAGTGCTCTACACCGCGCAGATCTACACACCGTGAGCGTCGTCGACGGTGGAGACACCCTGAGCGTCGCCGACGGTGGTGACACAGTGAGCGTCATTGATGGTGGCGACATCGTGAGTGTCACCGAAGGTGGTTTGTGATAGAGAGAAGGGAGAGAGAATTTAGAGAGAGAGGATGATTAGGGCTTCACCACCTCCCCAAATTTTTCGAGCCCTTTAACAGCCCCGACCGTGATTGGAGATCCAAACCATAGCTGTGAGGCGACAGTCAGCGTTGATATGTCTTCAGGCGGAGTAGTCGTCAGTTGCTTTCACGGCGCCATTGTGGTGGATGTATTCGCCGGAGTCAGGGAATTAGAAAACATAGAGAGAGAAGGGGGCGAGAGACAGCAGATTGGGTGTGGTGTGTGGTAGTTATGAATTTAATAATATTTGTTTAATAATTTTTTATTACCACCTGAATTATGAAATTAAACTTAACCTCCTTTATTTATGAAAACTAGTTTTTAAACCTAGGTTTCTAGGTAATTTTCTCATTTTTCAATGTGTGTCTCCAATCTGCTTCGGGTTCTTATATGTATTATGTAATTCCGGCCCAAAAGCAGCCTCCAATTCTTCTCTTTTTCCTCCCAGTTTTTTGTGCCACAAATTCTATTCTTGTTTCCCAAGCTGCCGCCTAATTTCTGTGCCTTTTATATTATACTAGTTTTCCACCCATGCAATGCACGGGCTATGTTATTTTTTAGGTAATATTATCAAGTCAAAATATCTATTTATTTCCATCAATAAATTTACAAATTTGATTACTTGTTGTGTAAAGGAATGAAGAAAAGAAGTATATATTTTTTTTATAGATGTTGCGTAAAGAAATGGAGAAAAGTAGGAAAAATAGTATAACAATTTATAACCCCTATAAATTATAAAGTGATAATAAAAAATATACATGATTTAATATACTTCGTGTCACGTTATATAAGGGTAAAATAGATTTATATAAAAATATATATCAATCACCAAGGAAAAAAGGAAATTATATTGAGAAAATTGTCACGAAAAAATAATAAATATTAATAAAATAATTGATTTTTTTAAATAAAAAAGGACGAGTTATACGCATTTTTTAACACACAAATTTGATGTACGTTTAACTATTTTCGATGTTCATTTAAATCATTCGATGTATCTATTATATAGTTCGTGAAATCAACTTCGAAAGAATATAAAAGATTTATAAAGATTTGTGATAGATTTAAAAAAAATAAATAAATAAATCACCTAATGAAAAAAAAAAATTGACACAAAAAAATATCAATCACCCAATAAAAAAAAATTGACACTGAACATCATTATTAAAAAATAAAAAATAAAGAGCCGTTGACGGAGCAACTCCGTGCATCACGAAGCATTTGCTCCGTGATTCACGGAACAAAATTGCCCGCAACTCTTGGCACCCAGGAGCAATTTTGCTCCTGGCATCCAGGAGCCAGGAGCAAAATTGCTCCGCGCATCAAGGAGCATTTGCTCCGTGATGCGCGGAGTTGCTCTTCTGGTTTTTTTTTTGTGTCAAAATTTTTTTTCCATTACGTGATTTATTTATTTTTTTTATAAAAATCCATCATAAATCTTCTATATTATCTCGAAACTCATTTTGAGAACTATATTATAAACACATCGAGTTATCTAAATGAATATCGAAAATAGTTAAACGTATATTAAACTTACGTGTTAAAAAATGCATATAACTCATCTTTTTTCTTAAAAAAAATCAATTATTTTATTGATGTTTATTATTTTTTCGCTACAATAATTTTTGATGTTCCTAATAAACTTTTAAATTTTTTTAATGTCAAAAGAGACATCATTTAAAAAAATTAAAAATCTGGATAACAAGCTAACTTTATAAATTCATCGACGATTGTATGGTAGTCGAATGCATAAATTTTTTATATTCTCTCAAAACTCATTTCGAGAACTATGTCATAGACACAAATACGATAAGGTGCAAATACAGTAAGGTGCAAATATGATAAATTGCTTGTAAATACGGTAAGCTACTTGCAAATACAGTAAGCTGTATATATGGTATATTGCATATACGGTATGCTTAAAATCAGTATCTAAACTATATATACGGCATACGATAATCCTATTTCATTAACACCACAACATTCCAACAATAAGTAGCTTTTGCAATTATAAGAGAAAGAGTGATTAATATTTTTTTACCTATAAGTAGCTTTTACAATTATAAGTTTTTTATTACTTTTAAATAATTTGAATTGCTTTTTTTACTTATATGTAATTTTTTACATTTTAGATAGTGTAATCTTTTTATTAATATTTAATTTAAACTCTAAATATTTACTTAAAAATGTTGAAGTTAATATTTTTATTATCTACAAGTAGTTTTTACAATTATAAGATTTTTTATTACTTTTAAATAAATTAAAGTGATTTTTTTACTTATAAGTAACTTTTTACATTTTAGAAATAAAGAATAACTTTTGTATAAAAAATTATTTAAAAAATATTATTACTAATGAAATTATAGGATATGGTCGATAGTTGATTGCATGAGAAAATGGAGAAAAAGTACCGTGTGACAGATTCAAAGCATGTAAGCTACAGGTAAAATAGAAAACGACGTCGTTTTTGGAGACCAATTAAAATAAAATAAAAAACTACAATGTGACAAAATATTATTTAAAAATATATTACTAATAATAAAATAAGGAGGGAATATGAAAAAAAAAAATTGTATTCAAAAGTTAAAACTAGTTTAGGAACAGTTAACTCAACCAAGTGTAAAAAAGAGGGTTACAAAAATGAATAGTAAATTTCAAAGCAGCTCTTATAAGAGAATGTAGGATATAGTAACAGCAAAAGCAGCCCTTTTGTTTTGCGTCAATAAGAGAATGTAGGATATAGTAACAGCAAAAGCAGCCCTTTTGTTTTGCGTCAGTAGGAGATTAAAATGGTCACAAGGGAGATTGAATATACAACCAGCAAAATTCTTGTATTTATGTGATTCTATTTTCCCCTTTATTTTTGTAAGCTTTTTGGGTTGTCAAGAACAAGATGCCCTTTTTGGGAGTATTATTAAGTGGTAGTTATTGGATGGTGAGTGGTGTGAGAGTAACTCAGAAAGTATTCTTTTTTTTCTACCATCTACTAAAGATGTTCACTTGTTTAAAATATCTTTTTTACATAAACGAGAATGCAAAGAAAGGTTAGATTTATCACGACCGGATCAAGATATTTTGTCCTAACTTATGTTCCTTTGATATTTTCGCAATATATTGTTAAGTAAGTTAGTACAATTACCAGTATCTACAATGAATAATATCTCCGGTGTCTAACCTTTCGTTCCTATATGAGTGGTAAATATGGTTTAGGCAAAAAATAAGAAACATAATTTCTTTTTATTTTCTCCCAATTCCGTAATATATTGTTCTTCTCTGCAGTGAAACCATCCTGATAGCATTACAAAATTACATATTAGTACTTGGCACAAGTGTAATGATTCCGACACTTCTCGTCCGATTGATGGGTGGATCCAATGAAAGCTGGCTTTTAATTGATTTCTAGTTATTTTATTTTCTGCTTTGGAAAAGCAATGTTGATTTTGTGTTAAGGTAGCACGTTACTGGTGAGTCAGTCGATATACTTTATTACCAACTTAAATTTTGACACATGTTATGTCTGGTTTTGCTATTGTATATCGATCCCAAACTTTTCCCGAAGTCTAATATGCTACCATAAAACTTGATCTTTCTTGTGTCAACCTGGTGGCTTCATTCCATAATTATCTAGTCTAAAAACATGAGACAAATAATCTACACATTTTCGTTTTTAAATCGATTTCTAGACCTGAGTTACATTCTTTTACATGTTTTCTCTGACAATGTGTACGCGTTGATTAAACCAAGGGGACATAGTACACGTAATACAAAATTTGCTTTTCGTAGGTGGAACTAACACATTTCTTCAATCACTCTTTGGAACAAGGCTACCTACCGTAATTGGAGGGCCCTTTGCTTATGTCATTCCGATAATATATATAATTAGTGACTCATCACTACAACGAATGGACAAACCTCATATTGTGAGTACTCGAGTCTTTGTCTTTTAGCTCTTAAATAAGGGGCATTGAACGTGATGCTGATGTTTGACTATTGTGCAGAGATTTAGTCCCCGTTTGTCATCCTTTAAAATTTAAATTATTTACTATAGGATCATTCTTCAACACAAATACACAAAAAAATACTCTACACACCAATCAATAAAGTTACCTTACTTTTTAATAACATATTTTCTAAAAAAAATATTATTCAATAACTCATTATTTCCAAATAAATGCTGTTAAACAAACTCTTATACAAACTATGAGAGCAATCCAAGGTGCTTTAATTGTTGCTGCAAGTATACAAATAATTATAGGCTACAGCCAAATTCGGGGTCTCTTTTCAGGGTACTTGAGATTTTCCAATTATCCCAAAGGCTAAACTAATGTTGTTTATAAAAAAAAAAAAAAATTATACTTTGGACTATTCTTATGCAGCTTTTTTAGTCCCCTTGGTATGGAACCTGTCGTTGGATTAGTTGGCTTGCCTTATTTCAACGAGGGTTTCCCACGGTAACTTTTTCTGTTGTATAATTGCTATTTCATTGTTATAGGTTTTTCATGAATATGCGTATAATAAATAGGCAGTAAGTTGTGGGACAGATTAAAAATATGTTTGACCCCCTTAAATTATAATTTAAGCTTTGTTTAACATGCTCGCAATAACATGTCAGATGCTATTAAATTTTTTGTTGAGTTGGAAATTACGTAGAAATTGGTTTGCCGATGCTTTTGTTGGTCATTAGCTTGCCTCAAGTAAATTGTGATTGATTTAAGTGTTAAGTGCTCGAACAATTGTTTCGAAAATTCATGCAAGTAATAGTTTACAAATTGTAGTATCTAAATCACATTAAACCGCTAAGGGATTTTCTCATTTTTGAACGCTTTCCCGTGTTGATTTGTGTCACAATTGTTTGGATATATTGTTAGTAAAGAACAAATACAGCTATGGAGAATAAAGAGTGAGAAGAAGATGAATATGAAATTCGACAAAACTTGAGCACGAAGAATGTATCATTGTCCTCAAATGATATTTATCTCCTCTACCATGCTTTAAGGATTTTCCAACAAATAGTTTATAGGATTAAACAAGTCATAATGGAAAAACACCAAAAAGAAAACTTTCTTTTCAAATAAACAAGTGAAAAAGAAAGAGTTTGATTTTGTAGAGAGACAAATATTCTATAGAATTTTGGATGAATAAAGAATGATTTTCTTATGTATTTTTATTGTTGTTATCTTGAACTTTGATCACCTATTTATAGACTTTGATCAATTCACATGAAGTGGTGCCAAAGTTGAGATGAAAGGCCACCAAATTTAAACCAAAAATGGTAAAAAATGCCACAATGGTCATATTTTGTTCACCATGCAACCGCATAGGCTATAACTATGCGGTCGCATAGTTATAACATTTGCGGTCATCAAACTCTCTACATGGTCTTATGCGACCGTATAGACCATTGGCCAAGGATGGTATACACTTGTCCAAGATCTTTCATTTTAAACGTGGAGGATGGAAATTTCTTCGTTTCTTTGATTCCATCTATATTGTTGCTGATGATCAACATATCATCAACACATAGACATATTAAAGTAATTGCACTATCATTTACTCTAGTGTAAAGGCATTTATCTCCGAAATTATGATTAAACCATTTGACATTATTTTAAAGTCAAATTTCTCCTCCACTTTTTAGGAGTTTGTTTTAATCCATAAAAATATTTGATTAATTTGCACACCTTATGTTCATTTCCCGATAGATCATTCCATATAGACCTCATCTTCGAGATCTCTATTTAGAAATGTCGTCTTGACATCCCTTTGATGAACCTGTAAATCATAGATAGATGCTAGTGCAAACAAGATTCTTATTGAAGTAATCCTAGGTACGGGTACATATGCATCAAAGTAATCTATTCCTTTGTTTTGACGGTATCGCTTAACTACTAATCTAGCTTTTTAGGTGTTGAGTGTTCCATTGGAATTATATTTATTTCGAAATACCCACTTGCAACCAATGGCCTTAAAACTTTCCGGTCGATCTACTATTTCCCAAGTATTATTCAAAATATTAGAATCCATTTCATTATTTATCGTCTCTTTCCAGAATATACAATCTCTATATGACATTACTTCCTTATAGGTTTTAGGATCACTTTCTATTTGAAGAACAAAAAGTATTGTTCTTACAACATTTTTTCTAACTCCATCTACAAAGCAAAAAGAAATAAGTTAGAAATCTATTTTATCTGATCCTAGACCCTTTTCTTTTCAAATTCTCTTACTTCTTCGAGGTTAACTTTCAATGTCTCTTATAGATGTCTCTTCTTGGGGCTCTCTAGAGTTCGGAATATCTTCCTTCTTGGATATCCTTGCTACAAATACATTCTCAAAGAATTCCACGTCCTTTGATTATTTTATAGCATCTTATTCAAAGTTTAATAACTTAAAGGCTTTGCTATTGAGAGCATATCCCATAAAGGCACATTTGATACCTCTAGGAATTAACTTGGTTCTTTTGGGATCCATATTCTTACAATAAGCAAGACACCCCCACACTTTGAAATAGTTAATATTCGGTTTCCTACCTGTCCATATCTTATATGGAGAGATCTTATTCTTTTTTATTGGAATCCTATTTACCATATGACAAGCATTAAGTAAGGCTTCACCTCATAGATTGAAAGGTAATTCGGAATTTAATAACAAGACATTTATCATCTCTAAGAATGTCCTATTCTTTCTTTCTGCTATACCATTTGTTCTATTGTTAGTGGTTCAAAACATTGATATATTATTTCATTTTGTTCCCAAAATATATTGAATTCATTAGAAAAGTATTCTCCATCTCTATCACTTCTTAGAATTTTTAGCTTCCTTCCTAATTGTTTTTCAACTTCAGCTTTATACGTTTAAAGGCACTAAAGGCTTCATCCTTGTGTTTTAGCAAATATACATAAGTATACCTAGAACAATCATCAATAAAAGTAATAAAATATCTATTACCACCTCTAGTTAGTATGCCATTCAACTCACATATATTAGAATGAATAAGTTTAAATAAGTTTGTTGATCTTACTATGCTATGAAATGGCTCTTTGATCATTTTTTACTTAATATACGTTTCACATTTTCCAAGTTATCAATTTCACATTGTATTAGTCCACATTTAATCATTCTTTTCATAAACTCCTATGTGTGCTAATCTTCCATGCCATAAATTAAATGAATCAATAACATATGCAAAAGACTTATTTTTATTAGATTCATCCTCAAAATACATAATTTGACTATTCCTTCAATGGAATAGTCCTTTACAACAAATTATCCATTATGTGTTAGTAAAAGTTTTCCATATTAAAAAAAAAAGATTTAATTCCAAATTTTCCCAATAAAACTCCATTTTCTTGATTTCTATTCATTTCTGGTATATGAAGGACATTTGTCAAAGTGATCTTCTTCCTCGAAGTAAAGTTAATTTATGCGTTGCCTTTGCCAATCACTTTTGATCTTACTTCATTTCTCATTTGAATTTCTTGACAATCTTAAATGTCATGATAAGTTTTGAACATAGACTTATCATAACAAACATGGATTCTAGTGCAGGTACCATACCACCAACCCGGAACTTTTCTTTGCATTGCATTAATTTCGCTCACCTTAGCAATAATCTCATCAATGGAATTTATTTGTCCTTCCTTCTTTTGTTGTTTCCTATGCCTACAATTTCTAGCATAGTATCTCGATTTTGCACAAATATAGCAAGGTTCCTTGGATTTTTTTTTAACCTCCCTCGATCCTTTTTAGGACCAAGAGGTTTTCCTTTTTTGTGAATTTGTTGGAGTTGTCCACATTATCCACGATGGCTTTTGAAGTGCCTTCATAAGAGCTTTCAATGTTATCTTTTACCCTTGACTCTTCCTCTATTCGAAGATATTTTTGAATATCTTATAAGGAAAAGTTTTCAAAATTGTAAAGAATCTTCTTCCTATACCCTTTTAAAGATACTGGGAGTTTCGCAATAATTGCTTCCATTTGAAAGGTTTCGAGAAGTTCAATCTTCACTGCTTTCAATTTGTTTACACTTATTTTCAATTCATGTACTCCAGGCAACAAGGGAATTTTATCAAGCATTTTGAAATCAAAATATTTGGAAATTAAAATGTTCTTGGCACCTTCCTACTGGACCTTATACTTACTTTCAAGTGCGTACCAGATCTCATTTGCTAATGTGGTGTTTGTGTAGAGATCATATAATCCATCCGATAGCACATTTAGAATGTGACTGAGACATATTAATTCGTCATCGTCCTATTTCTTTCTTTTGGCACGAAAGTGTCTTTGTCGGTTGTGTCGGAAATTGACTCCAATTTTGTATCAAGCACATAAAAGAACTTTAACACCATTAGGAAGAATTTTAGTTTGTCCTGCCATCTTGAAAAGTTGGCACCATCAAATCTATTCAAATGCACTAAGTCTTGATTCATCATTTTGATGGTAGCGAGCGTAGATTCCGTCTCCATCATAGTAAATGAGATTATCCTTTGAGATTGTTAGTGAAGATGAATACAGCAATGGAGAATAAAGAGGGAGAAGAAGATGAATATGAAATCCAGTAAAGACTTGAACATGAAGAATGTATCGTTATCCTCAAATGATATTTACCCCCTCTACAATGCTTTTAAGGATTTTTCGGCAAATAGTTCATAGGATTAAACAAGCCTTAAAGAAAAAATGCCAAACGGAAAACTATTTTTCAAATGAACAAGTGAAAAGAAAGAGTATGATTATGTAGAGAGACAAAAATTCTACAGAATTTTGATGAACAATGAATGATTTTCTTATGTATTTTCATTGTTGTTGCCTTGAACTTTGATTACCTATTTATAGGCCTTGATCAATTCCCATGAAATGGTGCCAAAACTGGGGTGAAAGGCTACCGAATTTAAACCAAAAAGGGTCAAAAACAGTCACCACGGTCATATTTTTTTCCACTATGCAACCACATAGGCTATAACTATGCGATCGCATAGTTATAACATTTGCGGTCATCAAACTCTCTCCATGGTCTTATGCGACCCCGTAAGCCAATCGCATAGGCCAATTTCTTGGCAGAATTCTCCTTTTTTTTCTTTTCTTCTCCGATTTATTTCATCCATTCACCAAGAGGCCTTCAAATTTAAACTGAAAAGGGTCGAAAATGGCCACAACGATCATATTTTCTCCACTATGTGACCGCATAGGCTATAACTGTGCGATCACATAGTTATAACATTTATGGTCATCAAACTCTCTGCATGGTCTTATGCAATCATATAGGCCAATTTCTTAGGAGAATTTTCCCTTTTTTCTTCTTCTCGGATTTATTTCATCCATTCACCTAATTTTGAACAATAAGATTCCAACATATATTTGCTTATATTGACGGCTAGTGGAGTTTACCATGGCAAGCCCATCAAACTTAGATCAGTTGATCTTGATTGTGTTAAATGTGATTTTGATTCTTCAACTTATGTTTTTTTGCACCACCTAAAGGTATACTTTTCGGTGTTTAAGGTTCAAGTTTCCATATCCTCTACTTTCTCTGCAGGTCATTCCATTGCCACGATGTCTTCGGTTCTTGTCTCGATGGTTGAGGTATTGAGGTGCACTTTCTATATGTTCTATTTGAAAAAAGAGCATGAACATGATGAACTAAAGCTCAACCCACAAGTTAAATTCAAGTCTGTTTCATTTGTGGTATTCTCTTCTTGGTGATTTTTACATCAGTGTCAATGATACAAATAAATTATAGGTTTTCATATATTTCAAGATGTAGATTGATCCAAGTCACCTATAATTTAATGCGCTCTGTGAATTTTGAATATGCCATGTACTTGTTAGAACTCATCAGAAGGTTTTCTTTATTTTATTTTAGCCCTGCTTTCATGTGCCTGTGTGCAACCAGGAAGAATGCTGGTTAGCCTATTATTAAATATAGAAAAGTGGATCTCACTAGTACAAATAATTGTTAGTGTACATCTTGACTTTGGTTGTAACTACAATCCACTGGTGCCTATAAAGCAGCATCACGTATGGCAATTGCCACTCCACCTCCAGCCTATGTGCTCAGCCGAGGAATTGGTTGGCAGGTGCATTTATTATTCAATTTCCAATTTTTTTTTTACTCGTATATTTTTTTGCTATTCAAAAGTTGGTTCGCTGTCAAGTGAACGAAGATTGACTAACTTTTAAGCTGCTTGTTTTTATTGCCTTACTGCATAAGTAAGCCAAGAAGCAGGTTAAAAGCTTAGCCAAACATCCCTATGCTCAAAATAATTACCAAGCACTATTTCAAAAAGTGAATGTTGAATAATCGACCTCCAATGGTGGATTTTTCGGGCTCAGTTTAACCAATCTCTATCTTATTAAACACACCCAACAAAGGCTCCAACCCAAACAACGATTCTTACTTCGGTTACTCAACTCAATGTGTTCACAAAGAACACAATATGGTGGCTGCAATGAATCACAAAGAATAGAGGAAGACAGACTCAGTTTTTGGCTCAAGAGAGAAAACTAGAGAAAAATGTAGGCTGCCTCTTTTCAATTGCACACACACACGGCTCCTTCAGAAATAAGAGCAATATATAGGTTTAGGGTGTAATAATATAATGGGCTCATGGACCAACTAATGTTTAAAGGGGGCGGAACACAATTGAGTCATCCAAGAAGTAAATGGGCCGTGAGCAACATTAACTATATTAAGTTGCTTCAAACGACCCTCAAGTTGTTTTTCGAGTTAAGCCAATTAATTGAGTGTGTTAATAAATATTTCAATCATTGGCCGAAGTCTATGAAATCTAATCCGACTATTCGACACTGTTTAACATCATCGCCCGGGATTATTGGGTATCAAAAACCCAACAATCTCCACCTTGATGCCCAATAATCTGTAAGTAACCAAAACACAAAGTTTAAACTTGCACAATCAAGGTAATCCAATAAAATTGATATCTCAAACCTTACCTCGTGTTTCGAACTGAAACACACACCAGACCGCTCCATGTACTCACCGGGGCTAAGGTCCAAAAAACACCCAGGTAGAAACAAGTACTTACCATGAATAACTAATCACGCGATAAAGATATTATATAGGATAATCACACAAATCTTTTCAAATTCACATTCACACAGAATTAAAGATTAACACCAAGTTAATCAGCACACGGTCAAACACATAGGCAACAAATGCATAAATGACCTCATGAAAGATCTCACCACACTTATCCTATCCCATTTCGTGTTACTCTCACCTCGAAAACACATATCTCCTCTCATCGCCCACCATGCTCACTAAATAGATCACACAACTCATGTCAAAATGGCAAGTCACAATAGATCCTAAGTTCAGGAATAATCCTTTATCACCACATCACTTCTCCTAACCTACGTCGATAATGGGACTCCACCTTACAGAAGTTATAGAAGTGCATCTCTCGCACTCTACCTGTACAGGGTTTCTTTCACAAATAAATGATTCTACACATTTGATCACATCTTCACTCGTGATCCAAATATCACACTCTACATCCCTCGGTACAAATCACCATGTACCCCTAGGCATCTATACTCCACCTTATCAAAAGACATCTAACACACTGCTAATACATCCTAACCCACTCTGCATGCAAACGATCACACCAAGTAATCACATTACCTCAAATTCATGCAAACACACATATCAAACAAATTGAAATGTAACATATAGTCATGCAACAAATTAGGCAATCACACACATGCTGAAAGGATCACACACAGATACATATGTAGTGACTAGGTTTACTCTCTCAATAAACCTCACTAGGGTCATAACTCGACCCCTCAACCACATTCGTCTCACCTCTCACATAACCCTTCTACTTATCCTTCTTCTTGGAACAATCCCTAATAAAGTGTCCAGACTTACCACAACTATAACATCGTCTATCACCAGACTTGTCGTGTCCCTTGCCCTTCATCTTAACACCTTCATCACTTGAGTCACTACTCGAATCACCGCTATTTTGAACCTTACCCAAATTCATGTTCTTAAACTTCATCCAACTCCTTATCATGTGTAACTCACCACTCCTCTTATCTTCATTTTCAACTTTCATTTTCATCTCCTTACTCCTAAGTGAGTCTACGACAATCTCGGGAGTCAATGTATCCCTGTCATACTTAATGGCATTTTTAACTTCCTTATATGACTCAGGCATAGAGTTAAGCAAGATTATAGCCTTGTAGGTTTCAGATACGGTTTCTTCACAGTTAACAATATCTTGGACAAGTTTATTGAAAACATCTAAGTTGTCATCAAGATCCTTTGAAGGAACCATTTTAAAACTGAAGAAACGCTCAAGAAGATAAAGTTTATTGGGAATAGATTTAAGAAAATATAGATCTTCCAACTTTTTCCAAAAATCTTTTGTGGTTTTCAGTTTTCCTACTTTTCTCAAAACAGTGTCGGATAGGTGTAAAATCATTGAGGTATAAGCAAGCTCATCGGCTTCTTTTTTTTGCTCTATTGAAAAATTAGCTGGAAAATTACCTTCAATGGCTTTTGAAACCTTTTTGTTGGACTAAAATGCCCTTCATTTTTTGTTGCCAGATTGAAAAATCACCTTTTCCATTGAAAATACCAACTTGGAAATGTAAAGACATTTTTGAAAAACGAAACAATCAATTAGGCAAATAGATCACACAAAGTAATCCTACGGCCGCAATATACACCGTCTTAGATTCCCAGGATTTTGTAAGACTCGTGGTCTTAGATCAAGGGAACGTTTGAACGGGTAAGGTCTAGGTATTCTAACAAAAGTAACAACACAGCGGAATTTACGATGCAACAAAATAGGTATATCCAATCAAATGAAAATCTCACAACAATTTTAGCACAAAGCACAATATGCTAATTTATTCAAAAATAAGTACTCAATCGCAACAATTAAGAGCAAGTAATCCTAATTTCTAGCACAAGCAATGGCTGCCAAGCAATGACAACCCCCAACCTATTGTCACCCCACACGGTGACGCACTAATGTTGAAATTAACGAGTTAAGCCAATTTACCAGAGCGGACGTGTCTGAGTCCGTATAATCGAGAGAAATGTGAATCTGCTGCTTTAGGACCACCACTATTCATCCTAAAGATTCAGCAAATATAACCGTGCAGCCCACCAAGAAATGCAGTTCGATTTTCAGGGGCAAAATCGTCCAACTTTTTCTGTGTAACTTGAAACAGAAAACTTCCAACACGAAAAATGTTAGAAATAATATGAGAAATAAACTGCCTGAAGAAAGCTTCCCCAGAAACTGCCGCACGTGCCACCGCCGGAGAAGCCAGCCCAGACGTGCCAGCCACCCAGCACCGCCTCCACCTGTAGATCACGAATCCGGCCTCCGTTTCACCAAAAGACGTACGGATTCTCCGAAAATTGAAGTTGGAGATCCGGTTTTTGGAAAAAATTCTGGACAGTTTTTATTTTCTAATTTCTGCAGGTTTTCTGGTCGGATTTTGGCCGGAAATTCCACCCCAACCTCACTCTGATACCAAATGTAGGGTTGATTTCCACCAAACTCCAAGTACAAAACCGGTCTCATTTTACCAATTTATCGACACCACAATTGAGACAACTCCAAAAACCACCACTGCCGCCGCCCCCACTCCAGTTGCTATAGGTTGGAAGTGAAGTCCAATGATGTCCCCACAAAAGGATTAACCATAAAGATCACAGTGAAGTATATCAAGAAGCCGAGAAGTGGAGTCTCACAAAGAGAAGGGAAAAATAGGCATACTCTAGGAGGCCGAGAGGAAGGAGGGATTATATGCCAAGTAAATGTCCAAAATAGGTAAGTTAGGTTAGGGTTACATTGTGGACCAAAAACAAGGCTTGACTCAATTAAAGTGGGCTCCAAAATAATAATATAGCCTTCCAAGGAAATGGGGCAAACCGTGAGCAACACTATTTAAAATAGGTTGCTTCGAACGGTCCATAACAATGTGAATTGTGTTGTCTCGATAATTGTGTCGATGTACTAGTCAATCATATGACCAAAGCCGATTGATAATAAGAACCAAGGTTACATCATCCCTCGGGGAGATCGTTTGACAACAAATTGCCTAACAGTGAAAATGCCAAACCCTTCAACCTTAGATGATGGTGTTTGACATATGAACTTTGAAAATGAGAACTCAACCTAGATGATTTGACAAATATGGACTATCATGGATGAAGAGTGAAAAACATTAAGAGATGTTCGATGATAGTGTATTGTAGAATGACGAATATGGAAAATGTGGGTTTTTGTCAACGCAACATAATATCTTATTCTTATCAAAAGTTCGATTATACATTAGAATAAATAAATAAAAGTAAAAAACTGCTTGTGTTTGCCTTATTAGATTTGATATTGTTATAATACGTGTTAATGCATGCTACCTCTTAAAGAGTTAATCAGGTTTTGCAGTGTCATTCTGTCAGAGAATAGGCATTTTGCTCAATGGCCTTTACGGAACACTCACTGGCTCTACCATATCTGTGTAAGGAATCAAGAATGCAGAACTATATCTATTATTTTTGGACTCGTTCTACTTCTTCGACCTTACCAGAATCGAGCACATAACAGGAAATATATTTCAGGGAAAGTGTAGGACTCCTTCAACTAGCTCGAGTTGGAAGTCGTAGAGTTATTCAAATCCCTACAGGTTTCATGATATTCTTCTCCATATTAGGTATGTACCTGCTGCCTTCTTTGAGATACAACTTCTATAATTTGGACCAAAAGTAATATTTTATATTTGTTTATGAAAACTCATTGTATCTGATAATTCATACAGGGAAATTTGGAGCCGTTTTTGCCTCTATACCTTTCCCAATATATGCTGCATTATATTGTGTTCTCTTTAGCGTAGTAGGTATGATTTTATTGCCTAGATCATTTGTTCTCACATCTATTCACTTTGATGTGATTTTTTTTATTATGTTTTCGGCAGGTTCAGTCGGCTTATTGTTTCTTCAATTCACTAACATGAATTCTACGAGGAATCTCTTCATGACGGGTCTTTCTCTTTTCCTTGGGATCTCTATTCCTCATTTTTTCGGAAATATTGGAGTCCACATCAATGCTGGATGGGTAAGTAAATTTAATCTTGATACACTGATGTAAAGGATCATGAAAGTATTTCATTTTCTGATGTTGATTCATGTTATCTTTTTCAGTTTAATGCATTCTTGAATACTATATTCTCCTCACCACCAACTGTAGGGCTAATATTGACGACATATTGGAGGTGGAAAAGTTATCAGAGAAGAAAATATCTCTTATTCAAAAAAATACACGAAGAGAATGAATACAATTTGTCCTTATAAATACAATTCGAACTCAATCTCACAGCTGTAATCTAACTAACTAACTGACTTTTTATACAAGTTTAACTCACTAGATTCTGTTTAATTGGCGCCAAGATGAAGAGCTAAGCGGGAGTTCTGAGCTGGATGTGAGCTGTCCTCTAATACTCCCCCTCAAAATGGACTATGTAGATTGAGAATAGCCATCTTGGATAATAGTGGAAACAAGTGAGATGACAGTAGTGGTTTGGTGAATATATCAGCCAATTGATGTTGAGTGCAGATTGGTAAAAGCTTGATGAAACCATTGTTAACTTTATCACGAATGAAGTGGCAGTCAATTTCTATGTGCTTTGTCCTTTCATGAAAAATTGGTTTAGTGGCGATGTGAATGGAAGATTGATTTTCACAGTAAATCAAGGCTGGGAGAGAAATCGAGACCTGTAAATGAAGGAAAAGCTGATGAACCCAAATATTCTCACAAGCTGTTGAAGCTAAAGCACAATATTACGCCTCTGCTGAAGATCTGGATATGTTAGTTTGCTTCTTAGACTTCCAAGAAACAAACAAAAGCCAATAACTGATTTTCTTGAATCAAGACATGACCCCAATCAGCATTGGCAAATGCTCGAATCTGGGAAGATGACAATGCATCAAACATTAATCCTTGACCTGGAGTAGCTTTGAGGTATCTTAAGAGGTAATGTACCACATCTAAATGAGGTTGGCGAGGCTGCGAGAAAAAATCACTTAGCTTGTGGATAGCAAAAGTAATGTCCGGGCGAGAAATGGTTAGGTATAATAGACGACCAACCAATCGACAATATAATGATGCATCCTCAAGTAGCACTCCTTCAAAAGAACTCAGTTTTGCTTTTGGGTCCATTGGTAACAATGCTGGTTTACATGCCAAAATGCCGATATCTTCAATTAGTTGCAAAGTATAATGTGTCTAGGAAAGAAAAATTCCTTTCTGTGATCTGGCTATTTCAAGATCAAGAAAGTATTTCAGCTTATTAAGGTCCTTCAATTTAAATTGGCTGTATAGGAAGGCTTTTAAAGAACCAATTATCTTAGTATTAGACCCAGTAATTATTATGTCATCAACATAAACTAACAAAGCGACAAATGATGCACCAACCCCTTCGTGAACAAGGAATAATCTGACGTAGATTGCTGAAAATCGTGCAACAGAAGTGCTTGAGAGAACTTCAAAAACAATTGCCTAGAAGCTTGATTTAGGCCATAGATTGATTTATGAAGCCTACATACTGATTTCTCCGCTTGAGAACCAACTGTGGACTGTTTAGGATGGCCTAATGGTAAGTCCATGTATATTTCCTCAAACAAATCACCGTTAAGAAATGCATGGTTGACATCCAATTGGACAAGATGCCATTGTTTAGCAATAGCAATAGCAAGAAAAGCCTTGACAATAACCAACTTTGCAACTGGAGAAAAAGTTTCATTAAAATTCAAACCTTTATGTTGTGTGTAGCCTTTTGCTACTAACCGGGCTTTATACCTTTGATTTGAGCTTGACTTTGTAAATCCACCAGCATCCTATAGAATGTTTGTCCTTAGGCAAGGTAGTGATTGACCAAGTATGATTGGCTTCCATAGCAGCTAACTCATCAGCTATAGCATTCTTCCAACAATCATATTTCATTGCTTGGTGATAATACCGAGGTTAAAAGATAGAGGATATATTGAAGAGAAGAGAGTTATGTGAAGGGGAGAAAGCTTTGTAAGATAAAAACTTTCATAAAGGATATAAAGAATTATTTTGAGTAGAAGAACTTTTGGTCAAAAGATTGCAACGGAAATCATGAAGGTAGGAAGGAGCTTTGCGTGGCCTCCTGCTTCTTCTAGGAATAGGTGAGTGGGATTGATCTGAGTTATGGTCATTATCAGGGTTATGGACAAGAGGAACATCATGGAAATCATTGGCAGAATGAAAATTTGTATAAGAATGATCCAATGGTTAGTCTTGAGGCATGTTTGGCAACACAACATCTGGAAAAGGATCAGTAGTGCCGGTGGATGATAAAATTGATTGAAAATGAATGGTGTTTTCATGGAAAACAACGTCTCTGGAAATGAAAAATGTTAGAAGCAACATCATATAATTTGTACCCTTTGATAGCTGGAGGATACCCAAAAAATACACATGCCTTAGCTCTTGGATGAAATTTCGTTCTAAGAGAGGGCAAAGTAAAAGAAAAACAAAAAATTCCAAATGTTCTAAGATGATTGTAATCCGTAGGAGTGTTGTATAGAAATAGAAATGGAGTTTTGTTTTATAAGATTGGAGCTAGAGTTCTATTTATGATGTAAGTAGCTGTAAGATGCATTTCCCCAAAAGCTGAATAGGGATTCTAGACTGAAAGAATAATGCACAAGCAACATTGAGAATTACGCCTTTGGTATTGAAGAAGTCTGTGAAGCATTATCAGATCTTAAGCATTTGATCACTTTATTGAACTGAGTTTCTATAAGGGAAAAGAATCTAGGGATGATGAAAGTAACATCAGATTTCTGCCTCATCAAATACACCCATGTGAACTTTGTGCAGTCATCCACCAATGTCAAAAAATATTTGTAACCAGAATGTGTAGCCACATTGTAAAGGCTCCAAACATCGCAGTGAATTAGATCAAAGGCAAAGGAGATAAATGATTATTAGAGACAAATGAAAACCTTCTTTGTTTAGCCAAGGGGCATACATGACATGGAATAGGGAGATCTTTCTTCCTTACATCAAACTTTAACAAATCTTTCATCTTGTCTAGTTTCTTAAAAGACAAATGTCCAAGTCTATGATGCCAAACATGGCTAGTTACATTGTCTAATGATCAAACAGAATTATGTAGAAAATTAGAATTAGCAACATTATTGTGCACTGAATTAAATCAACTGGTATCAATGATATAAAAATCTTCAGCCCTTTCACCTTTGCCAATCATCTTCATCGTTGGCAAAACTGAATAACACGCGTATCAGTAAGAAATCTAATGTTTAACGAGGACCTTGTCAAAGGCTGACTGATATAAGATTGAACTTGGACTGAGGCATAAACAGTACATCTTCAAGGACAACTTCAGGTGATAATTTTACGTTTCCAATAAATTGGACCAAAATTTTGACATTATTAGGAAGAGTAATAGATGAATTCTGGACTGATCTCATTGTATTAAAAGCATATTGATTCGAGCAAATGTGGTTTGTAGCTCCAGAATCAATCACCCAAATTG